AGGTTAGGTGCTAAGTTTTGTGTATCCGCGGTCGCCTACTGGAGCAAGTGATCGATCTCCATAGATTACGTTGGTTGGGACATGTGCTACGCATGTCACCAGGTAGGTTACCACGGAACCGAGTGGAAAAAAGCCAATGGTGGTCAAGCTAAGACCTGGTATGAGGGTATGAAAACTTTAACCAGGAGACTGGGTCACATAGGTCCTGTTAGGCTCCCTGGCTGGGGACCTCGGGATGGGTCACCGATGGTTAGAGACACTGATTGATATGGCTGGGTGTCGCAAACAGTGGCGCTCGTGCAGAAGGTCACATAGGTCCTGTTAGGCTCCCTGGCTGGGGACCTCGGGATGATCGTAACAGATGGTTAGAAACACTGAATGATGTGGCTGTGTCGTAAACGGTAACGTTTTTGAATCTTTCAAATTTCTCTGCAACATTAGTCCACTGAAATTCTTAGTTTTCCTTTGGATCCTACTTTCAACCTTTCCTGTCTTTCTCGTAATGTTTATCTAAATGGACAGCCAAAAGACAGCAAACAAAACCGGCGCACGATAGCGCATGGTTACTGGTTGTATAAACTGAAACTGAAACTGAAACCGCTGATCAGACCCGATAAGATCGAAATCAGCTGTCCTTTTTGTCCTAGCTTTTCTGTTCACGCTTCAGATGCTCCGTGTACGACGCAATTCCTCGTATATTGTATATTCTATCCGATAAATACGTGTTCAAAATTTATTTATTCAGGTTGTATGTTCAATACCACACGGTCATCATCGACCATATTTATATCGAAAGGGAATTTCAGCATAAACAGTGCTCCACTCGGATTCCCGGTCGATCAAGCAATACCCTCACAGAGCTGTTTTCCGAAATAACCCTTTTCGTTCAGTTGAAATACATCTTGTCATAAGACACTCAGATGATGCCAAAGAAAACTGTACCTGATTGGTTGTTAGTGGAAAGAAAATTCATTTGCTCCCGAGTATGAAAACGTGAAACTGACTCTTCTGTTCAGTTGCAATCAACAGTCCCCCACTGTTTGATCCCATCACGTTATCCTCTCGTTAATTTGTCGCCTAAATCTGATTGTGACAATTTGATATTTAAAGAACCAGTGACTGATGTCCGCCCTCGATCTGTTTTTGGAACACAAAACATTAGACGTGTGTACATCTGCGTGCATATATGTATCTACTATTATTAATTAATACAATATGTAGTTTACGAATGAGTGGACAAAATTTCCATGGTAGCACACTACCAGGTTCGCGGTTCTTGCCGCTCGTCAGGCATGCGTATCCGGTAATCTTTTGCCAGTTCATCCATATCTGTGTATCCAGGACGTGTATTTTCGTCACAATAATCTTGTTTGCAACACCGGGTGATTTTTGGGTAGACAGCTCTTTCATAGCCAATCCGTTGATGAATCCATACTATGAATAAACGCAACGTAAATGTCTTTTTGGAACAGTTTACGATAAGTAGTACATGAATGAATGAATGACAGAATTTCGCTATATATGTACTGTAATGGGACAGAGTCACTGTGTAGCATCTGGACGATAGTTTTTCCTCTGGGAGTTTCATATTAGTGGTCTTCGCTTATTATATGGTGTACTTTATGATCATTGCGTACCCTCTCCTGACGTATCCTTCTGGTCCCTATAGGTCAGGAGTAGCCAGATTACGGTCAACAAACGACATGTTATTAAGATTTGTCCAAACTTGTCAAACTGAATTGGTGTCCCTCATATATTGGGATATGGTCCGAAGGATTCTGTAACCGACTGGTTAAAGATACGGAAAAATCGAAAACAGTAAAATTGTGTGCTGTGTATCTTGTTCATCTCCCTTTCACCGTATTTGGTTGCTCCTTACTAGTGAATCGCGTAAGTTCTCAATTAAACAGATGCATTTCACGGTCACCACCACCACACTGTAAAAGATTGAAACAATGAAGGGACGATGTTGTGAAATGGCTCGTGGATGAAAAGTGCAACATTAACCTATCCAAGGTGCTTTGATGCCCGTTTTGAATGGGTACTGCTGGCTTTGAAAGTCTTTACTGAATCCCTAAAACAATTTTTTAAAGGGAATTTGCCCTATGCACGTATATGGTTTAATTTGTTCAAACCAGGTGTTTTCTGAGCATCGTACCAAACGGTGTGTATGTGTGTGTTTTGACATCATATTCGCTCTATTTGACTCAACAGATCTAGTCCTTTTCTTCTATCCTCCCCTCCCTCTCTCTCTCATACATACTCAATGTTCCACAGTTCACGGCAAAGAAGGAGGACCAGAGCCGGATAAATTTGTGATCGCCTTGGGTCATGACGATGTGAACTTGTGGTCCGAACAACCTCAATCACCGCAGCACCAGTCCAAGATAAGTGAGTAGTATCTGGTTGTTGGGTCTATCTCGTCTATCCACATTGTTCCCTGCCTGACCTCATTTTGTACACTTCCTTTGCTGGACAACCGTCTATTTTGCGATCTGTCCTTCGCGGGTGGGGGTTTCAATGTGACTACGAACTAACTAACTAACTATCCGCAGGTCGCAGATGCGCGATATGTGATCGTAACCGAATGGAAACTCTCCTCCCATTCAATTAGGTTATCTTTGTTAGAACAATTCAATTAGGGGCAAAATCAGTTTGTGTCCTTCCGTCATTCTGGTCGAACGTCCTGCGTATCAAGCAGCCGATTACGGACCGGTAAGATTAGACGCAATCAACCAATCCCGACCCCCGTAGCGGGTCTCAGTGGAAAACTGTTTGTCACTACGAACTCCGATGAGATGACTTCACCATGGTTAGTCAGGATGTGTGTTGCATAGACGCTTAGCTGTCTGCCATCTTTTGCACTACCGGTAGTCGGCAGTTGCCGTTCCAGGATGGAGAGTAATACTTATTCGCATTTGACTCACCGCTGCTTGTGATTAGTGTTATAGGATAATTGATAATTATTGATTTGTGCAGACTATCCGTCGAACTTCACGCACATTCCCCAGCTCTTCCAGTCAACCATACACTCGGAAGCATTAGACTCGAGTTTCGATCTTATTGGAGCTCATCAGTAGTGCATATCCACGTCCCGTCCGGGATTTGAACTCCAAACCCATCGCATGGAAGGCGTGTGCGTTACCACCACTGCAACCGTTTGCAGTATGTACGTGTACAGATGCAGCGAAATGATTCAGGATGCAGTGTGCAAACCTGTGTTTTTGGCCTCTCTGTTCAAATTCTAAGAACTGTTTTTATTAAATGAGAAAATCATCTTTAGTGATCAACAAATGATGTGGAAACTGTATAAAATATCTGTTTAGAGAAATTGGGGAGAATAGATCTTTTTTCTCTGTCGTGATGTGATCCAAAAGATTCTGTGACCGATTGATTGTAAACACTGAACTACACTGCAAAGAACCGACAGCACCGATGTTGTTGCCATTTCTTTCATCTACTCTTGATGCTTGAAGAGATTTTGATGCACAACTAAGTTCTCTATATTGATCATAGTTTTACCGGGATAAAGCACACTGCATTAAAGAGTGACTAACAAATGCTAGACCCCGAATCGAAGATAGGGGAACACCAGCTTGTGAAATGTCAAATCAACTGTACAAACTACATCAAATTAGAGACAACTCTGTCGGGGATGAGATAGAGCGGTCCCTTCGCGACAGCTATCAAGACGAAATGTGACGAGCACACACTGGGGGGGCACAAACAACCAATCAGGTATGCGAATTTATTCTCGTATGAGTAGTCATGAGAATGCAAGTTAGCAAACACGGTCGTTTTCGTTGCCAAATCACAAGCACAGATATCTAAGAAGGAAGTCAAAGTATTGCCATTGTGATAATTGACATTTGTGAGTGTGTATGTCCGTGTTTGTGTGTGCATGCGTGGAAATTGTACGCGGGATGGGGTTGTGAAAGTAAAGTGCGACAGCAATTACAAGCCATTTGATCGAGTCTAGTCACATTGTCAGCGGGCTTGAGGCTTTCCGTCTTCTATATGTGGTCAAGAAAAGCTTATCCAAAGAGGTCAAGTTCCGAATTTTGGAAACAACCGAGGCGATTGTCATCCGTCTCTAGGACTTTCTCATTTGTGCTCTCAGAATCAGTTCGTAAAAATATTGATTGATTGAATATTGGCCATCCACTTACAATCTGGCGATGTAACCTGCCTTCATGAGCTGTCATTCATTCACCTACTCACCATTTCACAACCACCTTCCGTCATCCCCGTTCCATGCATACAGTTCAGTTCAATTCAGTTTTTACAACCGCTAACCATGCGATTTCGCATGCCGGTTCTGGTTGCTGTATTTCGGTGCCCCATTTGGATAAAAGAGCAGAATGAAGATTAGAATGTTGAAAACAAGTTCAAGCGGAAGATGAAGAACTCATATAGACTGGTGTTAGGAGAATTATGAGTAGATGCGCGAGCCTCACTCAGTGTCTCTAATCATCGCTGACCATTGTCCCGAGGTCCCCAGCCAGGGAGCCTAACGGGGCATATGTGACCTAGTCTCCTGGTTAGGGTTTTCACATCCTCATGCCAGTTCTTCGTGCCCTAAAGTCTCAGGCACCCATTTGGAAAACCATCTTTCCGTGCAAACACACACACAGACAGACAGACAGACAGCACACCCACAAATATCAATTGTCCCATCTCTTCTTAAACTCCGATTTCCATCGTAGATGAGTTTTTTAATCTGCCGTAAATCGTGTTGTGTTTAACCAGTTGATGTAGCAACCAATCAGCGACCAGTGAAAGCGGGTGCGTGCGCTGCCTCACGCAGAGACAACGCAAATGAATCGTCTCATAATTGATACAACAAACAAAGGAAGCTGATTTACAGACTCTAAGGTTGTGTCAGCAGTCACCCGATTCAGAACAGAAAAGCATTCGGGGTAAAAGCATGCACGACGTAGGCGGGACGTTAAGCAAACAAACAGGCGAGTTTGTCTCGCATGATCTGTATGGAATGGTTTGAGTGACAAGGTCAAGAAATTGATGAGCGGACTATGTCTAGCAGGCGAGCTGACTTTGAAACGAGCAATGTGGATCTTAACACGAATGACCCATCTCACTTTCCGTTTGCTCAATGAAGAGGCATATTCCCTATTGATCTGACATATTCTTCATTATTTCGCTCATATTTTTGCGCTAAGCAGCGATCAGCGAGCTTTGCTTTACTATCGTTAATTAATTAATTATGTATTTTCCCTTCATTGTGTAAAATCGACCACCCAGTTCGTTCTCACCATAATTTCAACTATCCTTCTCGTACATCCGAATGGTCATCATAACTTGGACAACATGTGAAGTAATAAACAGATGTGCAGTCTTCAGTAACTAATCATATAACTCAATGTCTCAAACTAAGTATACATCTATATGAATGTAAAAAAAAATGACTACCGGATACGCATATCTGACGAGCGACAAGAACCGCGAAACCGGTCGCGTGCTAGCAGGCAAATTGTGTCCATATACTGCTTGTTGTAATATATATATATATATATATATATATATATATATATCGCACTGAACAAGCCAGACTGTGTGCTGAACGAATTACGGTACAATAATGAAAAACGAAAAAAGTTCCATGATTTGCATTTGAACTTTCCTGGGGAATTTACAACCGCAGCCTTTGAATAACCGAAATCTGACCTGCAAAGCAGCGGGGCAGTGTGTGAAAACCGCAATCCATTTGGGGTCGGTGTCCAGTTCATCGGGTCATACGCCCTTTGAACGGGGTCAAACGTCGAACGTGCCTAATACACTTTGATACCCAATCGAGCCGGTGACCACTGCCACAAACGGGAAGGTGTGGGTGAGTGGTTCGTACACCTCTTCTTGGTTGGTTTTGAATCACGGTTTTTAGCTAACTCCCCTTGGTGAACTGCGAATGGTTGACCAACCCGGTGATAGCCCCGAATGTCGACTTTTTGTCCTTTCACTTTGATGGGAAAACACCTCCACCGCGAGAAGGTAGTGTGAGGCCTTCCTCATCAGATGCTATTTGAGACACTTGGTCGTATAGGAGCGTTTCGTGAGGTGCAAGGGAAGGGTGACCGGCCACAACCCAGGTCACCCAACCCCGACCATGAGCGTACCAGCACACTGTCCAGGATGCCAACCGAGGAGCCTGAACGGACAGTCAGCTGACGCCATTCGCATGCACACACACACACACACACACACACACACACACACACACGTACGCATATGTCACAGAACATTTGAATTTGCTCCGGTTATTTGACAAGGGCTCACGTTCACTCTGGTATCGATTTAACTTCATCGATCCCTTTCATGAGGTCGGCCTGTAAGCTAACAATTTCATTCACTAAACGATCCACTCATCAAACNTTGTGCCTCCCAGCGGACGGGTCATAACAACTTGGCGACGGGAATGAAGCATCACACAGAGATCATCAAACTTTTGTAACAACAGCAACAGTCATTTTTGGAGCAGCAAGAACGCTAAACAAAGATGATGGAGGTATTAGCAGCGCGGCTCGTTTCTGGGAGTGTTGGCAACAATGAACAACCATCTGCAACAA